ATGAAATGGGGGTGAAATCTTAGCTCTGACTCGGGATGGTTGTAGGGATGAAACGAGATAGAGCATGTGAAATCCTTAGAGGATCACCTGGCACAAAGTCAGCCTGCAATGCGTGTTAGCTGTTCTCTTTCGTACAATCAATAAAGGAATAAGGAATGTGGAAATCCACTTCACGTGCAGGTGTTGCGAACTAGGTGAACGAGGGTGTGTGTGGGGGGTGAAGGGTGCCTGTCCTCACTCTGGTGAAAGTGAATTCTTCTTGGAAGAGGTGGCTCCTTAGTTAGGAGCTGAAGGAGGGGCAGGCTGAACGGTCAGGGTGCGTCTAGAGAAGAGCAAGTTCTTACACTGTCAGAGGCCCAGTAGCACAAGAGAGTGGTGGTGGTGATGGGGTGGGGGGACCAGTTCCTACAGAGTCTTGCTTTTCATACCCAGGAACCTGTACTTGGTCTTTACCCTACAGGTTGTGGGGAGTGCGGGGTGGCAAGGGAGTGACATATATAGAGTTGCCCTTTTTAAAGATAATTAAGGAAGCAAGCTTTTGTCTGGTTGGGGCCCAAACCCCCAACTTTTGTCTGTGGCTGAGACCCTAGATGGGAGACAGTTGCTGCAAACCAAGGGAGAAGCCTCGCCGACCGGACTGCGTGGCACCCGGCCAGGTGGGAAGTGGTGGCACCTCCTGTGGGACTCATGCCCTCCTCAGCCACAAGAACGGCCTTGAAAATTTCTCAGGCAACAGGTTTGCAAGTGGCCAATTCTCGGGGTTTTTGTTTGTCTAAAAAAAAAAGTATTTTGAAATCTCTGTGCCTTCTGCTCATTTTTGCTGTGAACCCAGAACTGCTCTGAAAAAACAAAATCCATGCTTTAAAAGAGGATTTTGCTTTTATCGTTGAGGGATACTCTCACTGAGTATAAAATTCTGATCTTATAACAGTTGGTTTCTTTTCTTCCAGCACTTAAAAATCATCATTCTGTTCCTTCCGGTGTGCACCGTTTCAGCGAGAAGTCAGCTGCGTTGCCCTGAATGTGGGGAACTTCAGGGGCTGTAAGAATTCTTGTAATCACTTATTTTCAACAATATGATCATGCTTTGCCTTGATATGGTTCTCTTGGTATTTATCTTGCTTGGAGTTTATTGAGCTTCTAGGATATATGGGTTTATGTTTTTCGTCAAGTTTCCCCCCGAAGATTGTCCATTATTTCTTCAAATACTTCTTCTCTCCTCTCCTTCTGGCACACCAATTACAAGTCTGTTAGACCCCTTGACACTGTCCCCCAGGGGCCCTGAAGTTCTGTTCATTGTGTTCAGCCCCCTTTCTCTGCTTCAGTTTGGAGAATTTATACTGCGCTGGCTTCTGATAAACCAGCTGTTTCTTCCACAGTATCTAATCTAAAGCCCATACAGTGGATTTCTTCCTTTCGGATACTGTGTTTTCATGTCTGGAATTTCCACTTGCTTCTTTTCTAGTTTCTATTCTCCATTCAGGTTTTTAAATGTGTTCTCTCTTTATATTTTTGTGTTTCTTTAAATGTTTGAGCAGTTAAATGCAGCTTCTGGGTCTATCTCTATTCACTGGTCTTTCTAATGACTATGGGTCATGTTTTCCTGCTTCTTCACACATCTGGTGGTGTCTGGTTTTGTGTGAAACATCATGGATGCAATGTCGTGTGTCTGGGTTTTATTGTCTCCCTTAGTAAATTGCTGAGTTTGTTCTGCTGGGCAGTTAATTTGCTTGCCAGGTGAACCTGATTCTTTTAAGACTTGTTTTACCGTTATGCTAGAATAGGCACAGAGTGCCTTTCCTCTAGAACTAGATCAAGCCTACTTTTATGGCATATTGTGGACTGAATGTTTGCGTACCCCTAAAATTCATCTGTTAAGGTCCTGACGCCCAATATGATTGTATTTGGGGGTGGGACCTTTGGGAAGTAATTAGGGTTAGGTGAGGTCCTGAGGATGGAGTCCTCATGGTGGGACACCAGAGAGCTTATTCTCTCTCTCTCTCTCCACCAGGTGAGGACACAGTGAGAAGGTGGTGTCTGCAGACCAGCAGGAGGGCCCTCCCCAGAACCAGACCATGTGGGGAGCCTGATCTTGGACTTCCGGCCTCCAGAACTGTGAGAGACAAATGTCAGCTCTTTAAGGCACCGTGTGTGTGGTATTTTGAGTAAGACATGACGCGGCCTTATGAGTCCCTGCTGAATGCCCCACCTGGCCAGTAAGCCTTCTCCCCATGGCGGTCAGAGCTCAGACGATTTCTGTGTTGTGGTTGGCCCGCTACGTTCTCCCCCCTCAAGTGCATGTTCTTTCCCGGCAGCTTCTGCCGCCTGCCCTTGTCTTCAGGGGCAGCTAAGTCTTTGACTAAAACCCCAGAGAGACCACCTCATATTTCTGGAGCGCCCACTTCTCTGGGCCCCTACCCTGAAAATCCACTGCCTCTGTGGCTTCTAATTCCAGCGTCCATCCCCACAGCCTGGTGAGCCTGCCTGCTCGGTGCGGTCGCCTCGCTGGGCTGTGGTCCAGACGGTAGCTCCAGGCAGAGCACAGGGTGACCGAGGGACTCCTGCACTGCCTCCTTCTCTCAGCCGGCCTCTGCCTGTTGCTCAGCATCTGGACATGTTCTGTCACATAGTTCCAGTTTCTTATGCCGGGGAGGGAGAGTCTGGTACCAGTCTCTCCATCATAGTCAGAAGCAGAGGTCCACGCGGGTGATATCTGAGGACGTTCCCATTGATGGTTTCTGTTTTCTCTGTGAACTGATAGACAATACCACCCCCCAAAGTTTGCAGAATGGTAGTGAGAGCGGGTGGAGAAGGATAGCTTCAAAGAAGGATTATAATGCCAGTGAGAGCCAGGATCCGTCTGAGACCCTGCATCGACAGTGGCCCTAGTCAGAGGCGGGTGTGAGGCGGGCTCAGCTGTGGGGCTGGGCCTGGAGACAGCGAGCAGATGGGTGCACGCTGCGTACCAGGACAGCGGGAGGAGCAGATAGAGTGGGGACCGTGCGGACCAGGCTGGGAAAGAGGGAGGGTGGAAGGGACGGGCATGATGGTGCTCACAGAGGGAAAGAGAGGGATTGAGGCAGTGGAGGGCCTTAGGATTTGAAGAACAGGTGTGGTGGGAGTAACAGAGAAGATGTTAGACGCTTAGGACATCCTGAACAGCAAGGACATTAGCATGTCTTCTTTCTGAGTAGAGGATGAGTTCCAAGTGTGGTTGTGGGAGACACGTAGCAGACATGGAGTAGGGACGGATGTTTCTAGAGATGAGGACGAAATGAAAAGCCAAGTGGCTATGAATTTGGATGAACTGTTCACTGGAATGCAGAAGCCATCTGGGATGTTGCTAGGTTGTGGCGTGACAAGGGACACTGAACTCAGTGCTAAATCCTTAACGAAATTGACAGGCTGAAGGTCAGGAGATGACAGGGGGCAGGGGCATCGGAAGTCGTCCAGGACACAGCCTGCATCCCCGAGGAGCACGGTTTTGCATGCACGGGGAGACGCTGGGGCACAAGGCCAGCATCCAGCCCCCCAGCCTGAGCCCCTGTGATGGGCACACGGCCACCGAGCACAGTCTCGGAGGCTGTGTTGAGCACAGCCCCGCACTCAGGTAGGGCGCCGCTGACATGGGAGATGTTGCATCTATTATCATGATTTGCCCACAGCTCCAAGTAACTTGTCTTGAAGCAAGTGAGCCTTTTTCTAACTCGTACAGAAGCACCGTGTGGACAGTTGGTGCCCTGGGTGGGGCCTGAGCACCTCTCCTGGGATGAGCACAAGGGAAGCGTGTCCGGGAAGGGAAGCGTGTCTGGGAAGGCACAGGCTTCTGCTGGTGCCGGGGGTGAGGGGGAGAGACCAGGGGCTCGGCATGGATGAGGGGGTTCTGCAGGACTCCTGGAAGGGCCAGGATGGGGGCAGTGGGAGGAAGTGGGTAGCAGGTCAGGGAGAGGAAGCAGAGTGGGGAGACAATGGTCACTCGGGACCCTTATGTCTTGCTGGTGACCAAAGGTGGCGGGGACATGGGATGGGGAAAGTTGACTTTCCAAGATTTCAAGGAATGTGGTGGCTGCCCAGGGGGTCAGGGACCTGGACTGGAGGGGCTGGAGTGGGTCAGGCAGAAGCTTTCTGGACCCCGAGAACGCTGGGTTTTGGATTCTGTGCATCTCTGGGTCCCTGGCTGCTCAACCCGCGATTTACAGATGGGGCCCCTCCTGCAAGGCATCAGGCGGTGGGGGCTCACGGCCTCCTCTCTGCCCCAAATCTTCCCTCTTTGTCCCTTGGGGTGCCTCCCTGTCCCTCCTCTCCCCTCTCTCCATCCCATCCATGGACTCTGCCCCAGAGCATTGCACCCCTGCGCATGGGCATGCTCATGTCTTTAGGAAACACACAGGGCTCCCATGGAAGAAAAACAGAGGCATTTCGGGGGTTGCTGAAACAAGCTTGTGATTTTTACACACCAGCCTCATGCCCACGGGGAGCAGCCCCTCCCCAAGACGGAGCCAAGGAGACACAGAAGACTAGGGGCTGGCAGAGGCATCCACGACGACCTTGAGGTGGGGTCTTCTCTATGCCTCTGCCGGCTTGGTCGTTTTCCCCGGTAACCTTGGGTCTAATATTAAAAAAAAAAAATTATGTGATAACCACGTACTTTATCAGGAGACATACCAGGCTTATCCCTTCCTGGGTGTGACCCTGGGGCTGCCCAGTGCCAGACGTGCATGTGGCCGCTTTTCCACGTTGGCATCCTGGTGCGACCTGGCTCCTGGCCCAGGGACGGCATGGGAGCTCCTGCCGGAAGCCTTGCCCGTAGGCACGGCCACTCGGTCTCCTGCCCAGCGGCCTATCTCAGCTCCTTTTCCCAACAAAGGACCCGAGGGGTTGGTGCCACAGGGGACAGAGAAAAGTTAGAGTTTGCTGAGCAAACAGAGAGGACATTATAAAACAGCTCATGGCAGTGGGCGGTGAGCATTCTGTAGGCGGCCCCAGCGTGTGGCGTGGACATGGGATCTCGAAGCGTCCAGCTCCTGGCCGTGCTCCTCGTCCTGGGGGACAAGTGGCTGTGTTCCCTGGTGGCGGCCCAGAAACCTTGTAAGTGACCACCTGTATGTCGCCCTGTGCAGCTCAGCGTCCTTGACTGGGCAACAGAGCATTCAGGCCCGCGAGCCGGGAGAAACCCCAAATGCAATGGGCGTATGCAAGTCCCTTGCCCTTGGTGGGTCTCTGTTCTTGTTTGTCTTCCTCAAAGCCACAGGGTGGTATGATGGGCTCACTGGAGAGCAGAAGTAGCTAAAAAGGCATCCTGAGCTCGGTGATGTGGGCTGATTGCATTTGTGCATCCTTTTCTGCCATTCGGGAGGAACACCCAGGGGTATGTGAGACCTCCAGGAAAGGCCTCCTTCCGTGACCACAGGTGCTGGGGGGCCGGCTGGGGAGACGGGCTGGGACAGGTGGCCCCCAGGGCATCTGGAGCCCACCTTGGTCACCTTTCCTCTTGAGTTTTCCCAAGGTCCACCGTCTGCCATATTTCCTGAAGTCTTTCCTTCCTTTTTTTTTTTTTTTAAACTAATAATTTCTGCAAAGCCCTGTTTGTTCCTCAAGACGTCGCATAGTTGAAATCTGGGAGAGATCAGACTTTGTGGTTTCCCTGTGTGGCCGCTGGACCTGGGGAAGGGTCCGAAAGTGCCCCCGAGAGCAGGCGGGTCCCATGGGGGGGGACAGGTTGACCGAGGCTCTCCCCCCAGCCCCCTGCCAGTGCTCACGGATCGCAGTCCAGAACAGGAAGAACTGTGGCTTCCCGGGCATCACCCCTGAGACGTGCTTCGGCATGGGATGCTGCTTTGACTCCACAGTCCCCAATGTCCCCTGGTGTTTCCACTCCCTTCCAAAGCAAGGTAACTGGCCGAGGAACTGGCCCTCTTCCCGTCCCCACCCCAGCCAGCCAGAAGGGAAGAGACAGCGGCCTCTGGCCCGCTGTCCCCACCTGGAGCCCCAAGGGTCAGCCACTCGCCCCTCCCACAGACATCTGTGAGAAGCCATCACAGTTTCTTGTATGATTAGAAGGAAAAACAGCTCCCAGGCCTCTCTTAGCTGTAAAGCTGCGACTTCTGAAGGAGCTTTTAAGGGATATGAAGGCAGTTAATAGGACATTCTCCACATAACTGCTCACAGGCCTCAAATGGTAAGAGATTCAGTTAAGACTTCCAGGATGTTCTTCTGAGGATGAGGTTTACGGCAGCGCACACTCGCAAAATAGAAGGTAATTATTCGTGCCGAGGCATGCACAGAAGAAAGTTGTGTGTGCAGAGCATGCCGTGGGGGTGGAGCCCGGCACCCACGGCCCCCTGGCCGCAGCCGTTGCAGGTTCCCTGGGCTCCGAAGGGGACAAGACACATGGCTGGCTTTTAGGCAGGGCCCTTTCTCTGGTGGAAGCATTGCTGGCTTTTAGGACTTCAGCAAGATGCTTCACCTGCTTAAAGGTGCTCACCGCCCGTTCTCATCAGAGTACGGTGGTCACCCATTTTACAGATGGGAATATCAGGTCCAGAGAGGTGAACTGAGTTTCCCAAGGCCCCAGGACGTCAGACCTGTAGCATCCGTGCAGATCCTTGGGTGGTCAGGCGCTGGCGCCAGCCCCTAGACGGTCCTTGGGGGGTCGTGGTCCAGCAGCCGCTCCTAGCACAGGGAGGCTGAACCCAGCCACATCACCGTGGGAGGACGGACAGAGACATTGCCGGTTGCTGGGCTGCCCTCACTGAGTCTCCGTGTTGCTCCTTTCCAGAGGCGGAGCAGTGTGTCATGGAAGTGTCCGCCCGTAGGAACTGCGGGTACCCGGGCATCAGCCCTCAGGAGTGCGCGTCCCGCAAGTGCTGCTTTTCCGACACTATCGTCAACGTGCCCTGGTGTTTCTTCCCAATGTCTGTGGAAGGTAACGTCCTGCGGGGCGGGGGCTGGGAGCCAAGGCGGGCCCCAAGCCAGCCCCAGGCCTGGCCCCCATCGGGGCCGGGCCCCCGAGCCCAGTGGGGACCATCTCCGGAAAAGGCGGCTCTGAGGGGGGCTTGTGCGACCCCCGCGGAGAGCGGGTCACCTCCGCCACGCCCCTGGATCCCCGCCCAGCTGTCCTGCAGCCACGCGTTGGCAGGGCCACTAAGTGCCACAAGCTGTGCCGGGTGCCGGGGCGGACGTGGGCCTTCTCCCGTGGGCCTTGCTCTTCCCTCACCCGTGAGCACGAGGGTCAAGTTCTGCCCATGGCGGCCTGCTCAGGGCCCCCCCGGCAGGGTCTGGTTGTCCCCCCGCCTTAGCTACAGTGCGTCTCCGACCCTGAGTTATCCACACCAAGGACAGGTCCGGCACGGCCCCCAAATGGGCTGCGTGCCCTTGCCGGACGCTTTCCTTTCCCCGTTTCAGAACATCAGGGTGAGCCACAGAGCGCAGCAGAGACCTAAGGGTCTCTCTGGACGGTTGCCAGTTATGGGGGAGAATGGACCCCCGAGAAGTGTCCTCCTGCCCCCGCCCCGGGAGGGAGCTCCTTGGGCAGGAAGTCTGGCCATGGGCCTGTTGACAGGAGCCCCCAAGGCCTGTCGCCGTGGACTCCCTCGGCCCCCAGACACTGTCCCCACCCACTGGCATTTCACACTTCCAGATTGCCATTACTAAGAGGAGTCCCTTCCGAGAACCCACCAGGCTCTCTGGGTGTTTGGAAATGAAGAAGACTCACCATCGCATCTCACGTCTCCAGAGTTCCTGGCTTTCCTTAATCTGCTTTTTATCCTTTTCACTGGTTCAACATACATTTCTTCAAATAAAGAAAACCCTTAAAGTCTGCTAAATTTCCTTTTGGCTTCATTGACACAGAAGTGGAGCGACAGAGGGAGAGAGGGAGTGTGCGTGCATACAGGTGTGAGGGTGTGAGGGTGTGTGGGGGGGGTGGGGACAACTCACCCAGCCGGTGCAAACCACCCCAGCAGCAAGAGGGAATTCACGATCCACGATCGCTCCCATTCCCAATCATTTGTATAGAAACTCAAATGACTTTAGCCCTGAAAACCTCTTGCAGTAACGTCTGATTTCAGATTGCAATTACAAAATTGCCTCGCCTTTACCAAATGCATCCCAGAGTATGGCTTTTGCAGGAGTGCGGGGCACCACCGTCCGTCCTCGCAGGGGTGGGGCGGGGTGGGCTGGCTCCGACGCTTCCCATCCTCCACCCCCGAGCAGCTGTGGCGACGTGCCGAAGTCTGGGTCCAAAGAGGAGGTTGACAACTGCCACCGAGGCCAAGCCAGCCTATGGGAGGGTTTTGGCACAAAACCTAGCGTGTGTCTCCGCGGAAGGGTCCTGGCATTCTTCGGTCGGGGGTGGGCATGCAGGGGGAGGACACGGGCAGATCTTTCTGTGGCTTGTCCTTCTTTCCCGATGCCACCTGCATAGCACTTCTGTCCCGACACCCCTGGATGGAGAGCTCGGGGTTCTGCCCCCAGCACTGGCGTCGTGGCCGTCCTGCACCCTGGGTTCAGTGCAAGCTCCTGGATTCATGCCTCCTTGGGCATTTTCTGGTCCTTGGCCCCCATCCTCAGGCCGCGGGCCCCTCGGCACGCATCTCTGGGTGCGGGGACACGGCGTGCTTCCTCAGAGTTCTCTCCTCATGCCCCCTCCCCAGTCCCGCTTCCCTGGGCGGGGGTCTCCCCAGTGCGCGCACCCTGGGTTCTGAGCTGATCTTGATAACTGAGGGCGGCTTCTGGAAGAACTGCACTGGCCGTCGCCACGGGCCCGGGGGACTTGGCAGATCTACTCCGTGTCAGGTACTCTGACTCTTGCAGGTTGCAGGTCACTCTGGGGCACCCCACCATGCTTGGGGTAGTGCTGCCCCCCACCTCCTCCTTGAGGTGGGCCACCCTAGGGTCCTCGTTGCCCCTGGAACAACAGCTGGTGACATTCAAACTCACCCCATCAGAAAAGCCAACCTTCCTCTTTCTCCTCCTGCGATGAGGTAATTCCCTGGTCCCCTCTGTGGTGTCTGCTCCCGTGGGACCCCACTGGTGGGGGAGCGGGGAGGCTGGTGCACAGGGTCTGGCAGCGGTCGCCCCCAACTGGAGCAGAGGCAGGGGAAGTCCAGTTCTGCCCCTCAATTCCACTGTCATAGTCTCCTGGCTCCCCAGGGCCATGCAGTCCTTGCCTGGCCGGCTGAGGTAGACAGATGCTCTGAGAAGCCTTTTGGCCGAGGGAAAAATAGGACATGTCACAGTGCACCTGTGGGCTGATATCGCTGGTGTGTGACCTCGGGGAGGTTCTCCTATCTCTCAGATTTTCAGCCTTTCTGTTTGTAAAATATGGGTACTAATTCCATCCCTAGCCGTGTTGCAGTGGGAACTGAAACGAATCTTCGTGAGCTGCCTGGTACACAGTGGGCTCCTTCCGGAGAGTCTGGACAGAGCTGACTCTGCTCTCTTGTCCTGACAGGACCAGGCGGGGACGTGTTGAGAAGCCCCTTCTGTGTGCAGAGCAGCATGGCTGCGTCCAGAATGTGGGTGGAGCCCAAGAACACATACCTACTCCTTATATTCACGACACATTCACCATATACTGAATACGCGACAGTGGGATTCTCTATTCAAGGTAGTTGTGTTCCATAAAGTCACTGACACTGAATTAGGAAACTCTGAGCCATTGAGACTGGGGGACACACAGGGTCAGGTTCCTGAGCGCCTCCTGAGCAAGTTCATCAAGGATCAATTCATGACCTTGCTTGGTATGTGTTTCTGCTTAAAGACCATTTATTTCATATACATTGTTGGTGCAGGAACACCGGACTCACAACAGCCAGCACTGTAAGCCCTGGCTGGACGTACACGTGTGCACAGCGCGTCATAGCCGCTCGCCCCAGGCCACCCGACAGCGCTTCCCCACCGTGCGTGGGAACCATCTAAACAGCCAAACCAACAAAAAGCACAAGAATGCATAAAGCGAGGTCCCAACAGGCCATGAGAAGACATCTGCCTTCACTCTGAGAGCTGAAACCAGAAGGCAGAGCGTCACCTTGTTGGACTCCGGCTGGCAAAGTTCATGCTACAAATAAATTTTAGCGAGTAGGTGGATTTGCAGATAGGGATCCGTGGATAATGAGGACCAGTTGTGTATTCATCATAGGTACTACGTATTCCCTCCATGTGTTTTGGAGACGTGGTACATACACACATGTGCCCCTAGCTGTTGCTGGGGGGTCCAGGGGCCCAGCCCCTCTGTGGACACCCCTCCCCGCCCCCTTTGCCTAAAGAAAGAAAGGAAAAGACCGAAGCACAGTCTGAACCTCCGTGGGGCCCCTGGAATCAGAGTGCTGCCAGAGTGTATGTATTACATCTCCAAAATAGAGATACTGCACTTCTGGTCTAGATGATCTCTATATTGAGCTCACTTCCCGGCTGTGTGACCTTGAGAGCTATACTTAGACATTCTGTGCCTACTTTTACTCATGTGCGAAGTGGGGGTTAAAATTAACAGGATCATTTTTTAGAGGCTTGTTGGGAGGGTCTGATGAGTTCATTTATGAGACGTACCAACAACAGTGTCAGGCACATAGCAAGTGTTTAGTGAGCACGCAGCCAGGCCAGGCTCCCCCACCCGGGGAGACGGAAGTGTCCCCACTGTCTCCGGGCACAGTTCTCAGACCCTCCACGATCCTACCTGCTGATGCAGGAAGGCCAGTCCCTGCCAAGTCCCCTCCCCAGGGCTCCTCCATGGCTCTGGCCATGCTGTGGTCCCAGTGGGCAGTGGTCCTGTCCTAGGTTGGCACGATGCCGCTGCCAGCTCCTCGGGAAGGGCCTGGCCAGAGGTGTTCCAGTGAAATGGGAATTTGTCAGCCCATTGTCCCCCGCTTTTCACAAACCCCTTGCCCAAGGCTCGTCTGCATCTGTGTGAACAGCTGTGGGGGATTTCCGGGGCATTCCTGGGAGTTGTCTGAGCTTCCCTGGACAGAGCAGTCTCCTTGGTCCACGGCACCCGAAAGAGCCTGATCTCTGCTCCAGCCCAGCCAGGCTCCCCTGGCCGCTCAGACGTGGAGGTGCCAATACCATGCTCCAGGCCTGGGTGACCAGCTTTCCCCAAGGCCCCGAGGGTGGCAGACTCCATACGATCTCCTGTCCTCCGAAGAGAGCACGGAACTTCGGAAGTGCTCCACCTTCATTTAGCACAGTCAGAAATGTGGCTCTGAGGAAAGAAGGACCACCGTTCTGTTTGTCCTTGGGACAGGTGGCTAATGAACGCAAAGAGCTTCCGGCCAAGGATGCTCACACGTCGGTCCTCCAGTGCCCTCTGCTGGCCACCCTGGGAGCGGACTTCCCCAGCCTTCACCTACTGGGCACTGTGGGTCTCCAGGGGCAGCAAAGGTGTGCTGACTCTACTGAGCCTCCCAATGTCAAGAGAGTCATCTCAATAACTATTGTAAATTGCTAAACTATAAGTCAGATTGGGCCAGATTTCTTGATGTGGGTTTGCAAAGCAGAGGGAGGGAGAGAGGGAAGAAGGAAGGGGGAGGGGGCGGGGAGAGGGAGGGGGAGGACAGAGATCCAGTCTCTTCTTATATTGACACTAATCTTATTGAGTAAGGAAAGGGTTAAGGTCTAGGCAGGGAGAGGAGGGGGCCCCTGGCTGGGCTCTGAGACTATTCCTGGCAGGCAGAAGCTAAGCCAGAGTGAACAAGACATAAGGAGGCAGACCACCTGGTCTCGATGGCCGCGAGTATTTTTCTTTGGCGGCTACAGTGTATCATAGAAAATGACTAAACCCCAAAGAATTAAGTCATGAAGGGGGTCATCAAGAGTCCATGCTCAAGCCAAGACGGCACAAGAAACTCAAGGCCACAAGCTTCCCGGTCAGTTCTCCATAAAGGACTACCAGTAGAAGCCCTCCGTGGCAACGCATTCGGGACCCTTCTCACTCTAGAAAGCTTCTTCTTTTCTTTCCTTTCTGCTCTCACCTTCACATAATAAACTTTCACTTCACCCTTTTGTGTCCTCGAGATTCATTCTTCAACTCCATGAGACAAGAACCCTGTGATCCTACCACACTACCAGATCAGGGTCCTACAGTTATGACCTCATTTAAGCTTAATCATATCTGTAAAGCACCCCCCCACCTCCTCACCCCCTGTCTCCAAATGCCATCAACCTGAAGGTCATGGTTTCAACATACGGACTTGGGGTGAGGAACAACTCAGTCACAGCATCATTAATCAGCTCAGTCTCTTTACACTAGTAACACTGAGAATGGTAACACTTATACGTTAAAGCGTTTTTTTTTTAATTAGCTCTATTGAGGTATAATTCGATATAATAAAATTTGCCTGTTTTAAGTGAATTGGTTCGTTGAGTTTTGAAAAACGTACACAGTCATGGAGACGCTACCGCAAGGAAGATGCCGAATTCTCTCCGCCCTTTCAAGGTCAATACCCTC